CGCATTCTCCAAATAGGCAGTAAGGTTTTTTTTATTTGTTTTGGTTTTTTAATCGTAAAAGTCTTTTTTTTTTAAATCACTAATAATGTGCATGACGTAAACGGGCGGGTTCGATAACAATGATGTTTTGATGTCGCAAATGTTTTCAATTAAGTGATGACATGACATTTTACTTGTATCAAGGCAACACTGAAACCCGCCAAGGGCGAACTGATCGTCTTCATTAGAAGTCGACGTCTTGTATAGATTTCTCTCCCTCCGTTTATTACACACTTGAATATTAAGCCTGTACAAATGGAGCAATGAAGTTGTAACAAATTAGGAAAACTCGTTTGACGGATGGAGACCACTGTGTAACTGGAGTATCATGGAATCGAACAAGTGTTTTCGGTTTGCGAAAAAGCTTGATTATCGATGGTTTCTGATGATATATTGCACTGACGTGCGATGAGCGTGTGACTGTTTGAAGGGGAGTGGTGGTGGTGGTGGTGGTGGTGGTGGAGACGAGAGATTGGGAGTGGATAAAGGAGGAAGGATAAAGATAGGAGATAGAAGAGAGAGAGAGAGAGAGAGAGAGAGAGGAGGGTAGTGGGGTAGGGAGAGAGAGAGAGAGAGGGGGAGAAAAAGAGAGAGTGCGGGTAAGAAAAGAAAAAGGGGAATAAGGAGAATGAGGATAAGGTAAAAGGGAGAGGTGGAAGACTGAGATAATAATCTGAATATATTGATATACCGCTTAATGCGAAATATCATCGCTGAGCGCTTAACAGATATCATAACCTTGGTTATCGGATTCATTCACGCACAATGTGCACCATCTTCACTCCATGGGGAGTGTTCCTACCATAGCACAAAGCTGTTTGGAACCAGCAACTGTGACAACTTGGCCAGTATATTATGACGCCAAAGTTCTGTACTCTGTTATAGCCAGAATATTGATATGAATCATTATCATGACAACATTCATCCGATGTTACAAGTCACCGCACTATGATAGCGAAAACTATAGTGATATTTATGTTGGTGCATTACGGTACTTTACACATCCGTGCTCCCACTGATTACCCTGTTTACATAATTAGAACTATGGATCCACAACTGGTTTATAACGTAATGTTTTTTTTTGTCATCCGTTCTGAATATTATGATGGGGTCGAACTCATTAGAACATCATTAATTGGTGTTACAACGTAATTACAACGCTATGCAAGCGAAATATACAGACTGTGATTGAAACAATTAACAGCAGAAGCAGAATCCGTAAAATAGGGACTTTTAGATTCGCACGAAGATAATATGTCTATGCTACGATCGACGTCCTTTTAATGCACTGACTTGAATGGACGTCACACGTATCAGTCCACGCAAATCTAAAAGTCCCTAATGATAAATGATCAGCCGTGTGAAGTCACAATCGGTAGTCGTGGTGATAATATCATTAAACTTTTAAAGCTCACGGTTTACTTACTATTTAATCGCGTTGAGTCCCTGACTCTGAAGGTATCTGAAGTGGCTGTACCTTTTTTCGAGATCATTAATCAATCCAATATGCGGCTATCGTGAGTATAACGAGGTGGGAGAAATGTCTCAAATGCCGATTAATTACCAATTGCCGGACAGAGTTGGTCATTACCACAAAAGCAAAGCGCTAGACTGGGACCTGATAGTTAGTTTAATCACGTGAAAGGTAATTTGTATTCATGCAGGTAGAGACTGTTTGAAGGGTTCAAATTTTGAACAGATAACGACCTCACTATTTTCTTTATTTGATGATTTTGTTTTAAAATACTAAACTTCCTGGGGTTGGAGAAAAAACCCAGGGGGGAGATATCCATTTTGAACACGGTATGGAAGGGCTTCTCCAATGGCAGATCAAGGGTTTCTTTTAAAGGACGGGGGTAATGAATAATAATAATAATTGTATTCCGCTTTTATATTGCGCTTAGTGCATCTACGATGTCTCTAAGCGCTTTACAAATATACTTTTGTTACCCTGGTCATGGGATTCAATGCTTGCCCGCACACACTGTGTGCACAATCTCCACTGTCTGGGGAGTATACCAGCCAGGCGTTACTTGACGCTCAAAAACTGTTTGACCAACAATGACGGTCGCGTCGTACCGGGTACCCATTTAACACCTGGGCGGAGAGTAACAAATGCAGTTTAACATCTTTCCAGGATATTGGTGCCATTTCGGGATTCGAACCATCGACCTTTTGTTTATTAAGACACATCACGATGATTTTAAAAGGGAGTGCCTAGGCTGGAACAACCACCCCTCCCAAATCCTCCAGGTTTCACCTTTAACAATATTTTATATTCTGTATAATTATTGTCCGGTATATCGGAGGTGAGCCCTGGTATATCTTAAAGTGAATTGGTGATTCTACAGACCATTCCTTGTCTCCATTTAAAGATACCATGTCCCTTTTGCAGCCAAAATCAAATTATGTAGAACTTTGCAAGAACTATAAATATGTCATTTATATCTGTGAAATTTAAACGTTTAATAGCAGTGTCCTAATATTCAAATTATGCAAGGAAACCCGTTTACTTTCTAGATTCCCCAGTCAGACAATATTGAGTGACTTTTCTTTGGTAATAACATACATGAAATTGAGCTGTAACAGGTACATGAGCATATGTCCACATTAATAACCCACTACTTGTAATGGCCAAAATGAAACTGATTGAATCTTTGTGCAGAACAAAACGTACGACCACTCGGTACAAGGATCTGAACGTATTTCCGGTAGAGTCAATTGTCATTCAATAAAAGTTTAAAAGTTATTATATAGTTTGTAATGTCAATGAGCCAATGATTCACATATATTATGCATTATATACCTCACTTAAGAAATCCAGCCATCTGATTGGTCGAAATTGCATTCATAAACTTTAACTGTTCCCGAAAATTCCCAGTAACCATGGTTTAAAACAGTTCAAAATCCCAATAACCATGGTTATTGGGAAAATAGGTCAGTCTCCATGGTTACCCCATAGGTTTCCATGTTAAAAAATGGTCTGAGCGATCGAGGATACCGTACGTGTGCGAAGAATTGGTCGGTATTTTCATACAAGACAAGACAATTCCAAACAAGACAAAAGGCTAAAGAAACTGTCCCAAGATTTCAACTTATCAAATGCAAGACTCGCTGACAGCAAGAACAACAAAAAGGGTACGTGAAATTATCCATAAACATGTTCGTTTGAAAATGGAGTACCAGCATAGACGTAGACGAAAATAGATCTAGTTGTCAGGTAACTCCGGGAAGCTCCCGGAGTTAGTTGTCAGGGTGTCTGATCGCGCACCTGATGTTGTGTGCTACATTCTTCCCATAGAGATTACACGCAATGAAGTCTCTATGCAGTGTACGTGCATTGCTCGATCATTCAAAAAAAGTCAAGTTTTTTTTTTTCAATTCGAGATTCAAACCTTTTTCTGTTGTGATCCTCAAGGTGATACTCAATAAGTGAGGTGTCATATGACAGCGCAGGTTCTTCTCTCTACTCCCCACAGGGCCGGCCCACCCCTAAAATTGTAAAAATATCTTGATTAGCTAGAATCTAGATCTACTCTACTCTCAAAGATACACTCATAAAAGACAACCGTGTAGATAAACTAGAGAAAGGCCAAGGTGGTGTCATTAGTTGACTCTTTTGTTTTCGGCATATAAAAGTATTAATGACTGCTTTAATATTCGAGAAATAGTTGTTTTTATACGCTCTCGGGAAGGTTACAATTGGGCTATTGCCCTCGGCACGCCTCGGGGCAATAGCACAATTCTAACCTTCCCTTGAGCGTATAAAAACAACTATTTCTCTCAAAGCAGTCATTAATACTATATTATGATTGACCACCTCTCAACATATCCTTCTATAGAAATATATTTGTTATTTCAATCTGATATGAGCAGACCGCATGAAATAATTGAAAGTCGTAATTGTTCTCTATCGTAGCAACAATGTTTCGTTCGTCACGATTGTTATCAAAGGATAAAGAAATATAGTTTTAAACATAGATATATCATCCTAAAAATCGTTTACGCAAAGACCCACTTTTATATAAATGTATTGATAAGCCAGCATGTTAGATGATAAAGCTACAATATTCATTGATTTGTAGTTATGTAATGCATATAACTTTAATATCCATAAATCACTCCATAATATTTTGTCAACAAATTAATATCGTACGTTTCTAGCCATCAGAACATCATGTTAAAGAGCTCAAACATTAGGTTACTTTAGAAACAAATAACAGCTTTTTTTGTTCATTTGTTTGATGTTGTTGATGTTCCTTTTTGTTAGTTTGATAAAACACTATCATTATTTATTGCATTGCTAAAACTATACAACATAACAAAATTAATCGGAAGAAGCTGTTGCTAAGGTCATTGTCAATATGAAAATGCATTAGTAATGAGATGCGTGATTCTTATAATTCGACCTTGACCGAAATTGCATTTCAAAACATGATAAAAAGTTGTTTTTCCTCCTCGTTTCTTTTAATTTGTTTTTAATAATAATTTACAACTACTGGTGTAAAGGTAATAACTGTAAAGCGCATTTGAACATGACTAAGGAAAATGGGTCATATAAAATATATTGTTATCATGATCATTTAAAAACTTATTGAATTAACTTTTCTATCAAGTGTTTATCAGTTTAGCACACTTTCTGACGTAGTTTACTTTTCACGTTTTGCTCCCGAATAGGTGGCAAAATAATTGCTGCTGTTTTCTAGTGATTTATGGCAAAGTGTGAGGTTACATGCTCATCAAACGTACACAAAGAAAACCATTTTTTGAAAAAGATGTTTATTGAATCAACGTTTATATTGTAATCAGCCATAACGGTGCACAATGCGCTTGACTCTTGCCTTTTAACCACTGTTCCCATCACAAATGAAAGAAAGACGTCGCATACTTCAGTCGAAATAATGAATCTGCACATACATTTAAAAATAAATCATTATGACTATGTTGCTTTGTGTTTTGCTTTAATTCAGTCTAATCGTCGACGAAAGTGTGGTAGCAGAAACTTCTCGATTGATGTCGGTTGCTCTAGAATCAGGCCTTTTTGAAGCCAGTTTGGTCCAACACGCACACCTGAAAACCATTCCTAGCTGTCGAGCAAATGCCCGCCGAAAATCCATGCTCCTCGCCGCATAAATCATCGGGTTCATTGCACTATTCGAGAAGGCGATTTTGAAACAGATGAGCTCGTAGACGTATATCTCGTCTAGACGGACGTCGGGGACGATGACGTCAATGATGGTCATAAACGATGCCGGCAGCCATCCGATGATGAAGATGCCGAATACGAGCATAAGCGTGACGGCGGCTTTCAAGTCTTTTTTTAGCGTTGAAGCGTATTTGGCCCGAGCGAATGCTTTTGTTTCAAGAACGCGCTCGAGCGCGGCTATCCGACGTCGATGACTACGGGCGACGCGGTAGATGCGAAAGTACCAATAGGACATCAGCGTAAGCGGTACAAACATGATGAGCACGACGAGCATGATACGATATCCCTTACCCAGGATGTAGAGGAGATCGCAGGCGGTGTAGTAGAATTCATGAACGTTATTCCACGCGAAAGCGGTGGAGCTAAGCAACAGGGTTATCAACCAAATGCCGGCGATAAAACATGCTACCCGACCGTTCGTCATCGTCTGCTGGTACGTGAACGGTGACGTGATGGCGAGAAATCGATCAAAGGCGACAACGGTGATGTGCAAGATGGTGAGAATCACCATGGTGGTGATGACGGCGCTCACGGACAAGCAGGCCCACGGCGAGACGTCGGGCATGAACCCCAATCCGACGATGATGTCGAGAGGTATGCAGATGGTAGCGAGCAGGAAATCGACCACGGCTAGACTGGCCAGGAAGATGTTGTTCTGAGAGCGTAGTGAGGGCGTCCTGGCGACACTGAGTATAACCAGTGTATTGCCAATCAGTATGACCACGGCTATTACAATATCAAAGACAAAGACGCCTATGATTTGGCTTTGGGTTAGGCACAGGTAACCGACACATCTGAGCTCTGGCCTTGTTGTAGAGCTGACCAAAACTTCAGAAGCCATGTTGGGGGCTGCTGAAGTCATGTTACTGAAACGTTGTTGACACCCAGAGTTAACGCATTCATCCCTAAGCTGAACGGATATTATGAAGAGTTATAAACGCGTATCATATTCCAAACAATCCTTCATAGACTATTCCAGAAAGCTTCGTATTAAACAAGAATTGAATAAAATAAATGTTGAATAAAAGCCGCTTACAAATCCATCTCATGTAAATTGAATCCTCAAGTCCTCATTTCTAGATAATGAGGCGAACAATGTTAATCACAATAAAATCCACGGCAAAAAGAGCATATACGACGAAACACAAATGTCTAAGAATAAATGCTGGAGTTTATTAATCATACCTGGCATATCCAACATAATATCAGGTCGTGAAGATCTTGTCTAATAATTTCAATTCCATCAAGCGGCAAACATTTCGAAGAGATATAATCGGGCGGTCCTTCTCAAAGCTGTTATTGAGTATGTTACCAAATTCAAGTTTGCACCATTTGATAAAGCGATCCCGCAGATACCAGGTACGGAAACAAAAAAATCCGAGCAATTCTTGACGACATGATTGTATGTACCTTATACGTCGTATGAATTTTTAATAAATGAGGAAATCTCTTCTGGCGGATGCAGACAACTGTGTAACTGGAGCAGCATGAAATCGGACAATAGTTCGCGAATGATGAGCTTCGATTGGTTTTTGATGATGAATATTGACACGACGTGCGATGAGCGTGTGAATGTTTGACGGAAGTGGTGGTGGTGGAGATGGGGAGTGGGTAAAGAAGGAAGAATAGAGAAGTGATAGAAGAGAGAGAGAGAGAGAGAAAGAGAAGAGAAGAGGGGAGAGGGAGAGAGAGAGGGGGAGAGAGAGGGAGAGAGAGAGATATGGGGGGAGAGAGAGAAAGAGTAGAGAAGAGGGGAGAGGGAGAGGGAGAGAGAGGGAGAGAGAGGGAGAGATAGAGAGAGAGAGAGATGGAGAGAGAGGGAGAGAGAGAGAGAGAGAGGGGAGGGTAAGAAAAGAAAGAGGGGAATAAAGAGAATGAAAATTAATGTTAAAAGGGAGAGGCGGAAGACAGTGTGATAATAATTTGGTTTATACAGTGCGTCCCAGAAAAAACGAAACCGAGAATTTATTATTGATGTTTTATCATAACTTAATCACAATTATAATTGATAAATGACACATAATATTTGGAAAGCTTAGATCCCCTCTTTCATCTGATGCAACTCATATAATGCATATGTCACACATGAGTGATTAAAATGAATTTGAAGAGAGAAAACCAAAAAGTATTCGGCTGACGGTATCTGAATCTCGCCCCCCCCCCCCATCCCGGGGTCGGAATGACCGCATGCGTGTTACCAAAAGGTCCGGTAAAGGGGTACTTTTCACGCATCAAAGTCCGGCTCGTACATACACAAAACTGACTTTACACATCGGACTTAAAGTGTGTTTTCAAAAGGAAGGAAAACGCATATGCGTACCCTAAATAACACTGAGTGGGGGGGGGGGGGGGGGCGGTATCTGAATTTCAAGGAGAAAATCACATTTCTAAAAAGTTGAGTTTTTGCCCTTTCATATTATTTATTTATTTATTCAAGTTTTATTTTAAATAGAGGGTAGGTACATTCAGTTTAACAAAACTGCTTTCCAAGTACGCCCTCTAGAACGACATTACAAGTATAAGATATACAAAAATACAAGGAATATAAAAAAAAAAAAAAAAAAAACATTCATCAAAACTAAACATTGACATATTTGACATAATATAGAGTACAAACATATATAACATAATACAAATAATTATACCGGTAGAGGGAAATAAGAACGGATATTCGACCATAATAAATGCTTTGCCAATTGGCATCCGCGCTTAAATATTTGAAAAGATTTGGTTAATTGAAGGAAGTTTATTAAATAGGGTACTTGCTTTATATGAGAATGATCTTTTCTTGAATTCGGTTTTGGGGTATGGGATGTCAAGTAGGGAATTTAAGGAATAGCGGGTACAGTAGTTGGAGGTGCGATAATTTATAAGTGATTTTAAATAAGTTGGGGCCATGACATTTATAATTTTAAAAGCTAATAAACAGTAGTGATATTTTAATCTTTGTTCGCCCGACTGCCAATTTAAAGTCGTAAGAAGCGTGCATTGTGGTGTGTCGTAAATTTATTTAAATCAATCTCGCAAATCTATTTGTAACTTTTGCAGTTTCGATAAATTTGTCTTTGAGCAGTTTCCCCAAGCAGTACAACAATAGTCGATATGTGGTAGAATTAATGCAAAATAGAGATTTACAAGAGTTTTATGGGGTATTAGGCGTTTTATACAACGAACACATCCAATAGAACGAGATATCTTAGTACTTATATATTTTATATGTTCAGACCACGTACATGTAAGTTGTGAATCAAGTTTAACTCCTAGGTATTTCATTGTTTCGACACACTGTAAGTTTTTACCATTTAATTTAATTGAGAGACGATTGTTCTCCAACTTTCTTTTTGATCCAAAGGACATCACCATAGTTTTCTGAGGGTGTATATACATCTTATTTATATCAAACCATTTACATATTAAATCAAAGTCATTCTGTAAATTTTCTTGAACTTCAGAAAAAACATTAGAATTATTAAAAATGACAGTATCGTCAGCATAAAGTGATATTTTGGAATTATTATGAAATTTTAAATTATTGATATCATTAATGTACAAACAAAAAATCAAGGGGCCCAGAATTGACCCTTGTGGCACCCCGGATTTAACAGTTAAATACTCGCTACAATGATTATCTATAGTAACACAATGCTGTCTACTAATTAAGTAAGATTTAAACCATTCATACACCTTGTTACTCATGCCATACAAAATTAGTTTATCAAGTATTATTTTATGTGGAATAACGTTAAACGCTTTCCCCAGATCGTAAAATATTGTTCCAGTAATCTGACCTGAGTTCATATTATCAAGAAGGTAATCAGTAATTTCTGTGAGACATGTGGTTGTGGAATGAAGCGGTCTAAATCCAGACTGACGTTCTGATAATAGATTATTTTGGTTAAGGTAAGAATACAATTGTTTATGTACGGCTTTCTAGAATTTTTGACAAAGAGGGCAGTATTGAAATGGGCCTGAAATTATCCACACTAAACGGTCCTCCTTTGTGTATCGGAGTGATTTTTGCAATCTTGAAATCAAATGGAAATCGTGAAGTTTTTAATGATTGTTAAAATAATAGAGTCAGTGGTTTTGAAATGATATCTGCAGATAATTTGAGTAACTTGGGATGTAGACCATCCATTCCTATAGCCTTTTTACAATTAATATTGCGTAGTTCATTTCTAACAAATTCTGATTTGATTTCTTAAAATTCGAAAGAAAAATTGGTTTGAGATAACGTTTGTAAAGAATTGAAATTATCATCTACAATGCTAGAACATGTACCAGTTTGTAGATTTGAACTCACATTGTTAAAATTTTCATTCAATAAACTTGCCACCTTTACTTTGTCAGTTATTATTTCATCATCAATTAAGATTGTGTTGCTTACCTCCTTTTGCCTTGAAGGCAAGAGTTTTTCAAAACCTTCCAATTTTTGCTCAAATTATTTCCGCATTCTGAGAATTCATTTTTGTAATACGCTCTTTCAAGATTTTTGTTTAGGTTATTTGCTTTGTTTCTATAAAACTTGAAAATTTCCCAGCAACAATCACACTTTGTCTTGTTATACCTTTTCTTATAGTAATCACGGTCACGTGCCAAAGTAATATATTCATCTGTAATCCAAGGCACCCCATTACGTTTTCTTCTGACAGAAATAAAAGGTGCATGTTTATCACTTCATATTGTGAACACAGATTTTTATATTAGACCACATTTGATCAACTTCAACATTTTCTTCATTCAACTCAGCCCAATTTTGATTTCTCAAGTCCTCTTGAAATTCACTTTCGTTAAAAATCCGAAAAGATCTAAATTTACATATTTTCGAATGAAGCATTGGATTTTTGCCTTTTACGACTAAAAATATTAAACAGTGGTCACTAAAACCAATGGGCATTACACCGGACCTCAAGTTAGCAATAGAATTCGAGGTAAGTATTAAATCAATGAGTATACTACTATGAGGTGTAACTCGTGTAGGCTCATCGATTAACTGATAAAGCTGACAAATACGACAAATATCCTTAACATTTTTAGACAATGTATTATCATTTCTCATATTACAGTTGAAATCACCCAGCAAAACAATATTATTTGACAATGACATTACTTTCTCAATATTCCCTTCAAGGAGGGTAAAAAAATGTACCTGGGCAGGAAGGTTTCCTGTATAAAATACCAACAAAAATCGAACTACTACTTGTTCTTTTGATTTCTAGCCACATGAGCTCAAGCTGCTTTGTTTCAAGATCTGTTCTTGAAACAAGTAATTAAGTAATTAAATTTCTCGTTAATGGAACATCCTACACCACCACCGCCAGTGGCATCCCTGTCATTTCTTTCAATTTTGTAACCATCGATAGAAATCATATGATTTGAAAAATCCTCATTCAACCATGTTTCGGATAGTCCTAAAATGTCGAAAGGGTTTGACATAAGAAATTGTTTTACATCGGTAACTTTATTTCTTAAACTTCTGATGTTAAGGTGTGCTAATTTAATGACCTTTTCCTTTGGAAAATCACAAAGTATATTGTATCTATTATCTTCATTCGAAGTAGAATCTTGTATAATATTCACAAGATGAGAATATCCAAGATAAGTTTCTACGGGAAAGATATCTTCTTGTTCCCAAAAGAGAGTACATACAGTTCATTGCCAATTTTCAAAAGATTCATTCGTATCATCGTATTTGCATTTAGGAATTCCTTCACATAATATATGTGCCCATTTTGTAAACGAAGTACATAAAAGGGCCTTTTGGTTTTTCCTTACTGCTTCATTACATTTACTGAATGGATATTTAACCATAAAAAAGAGTCGGTACAAATTTATTCATAATATTGATTGAAAAAAAAAGATATCAAAGTGTTCTTAAGTCCTCAAAGTCTCTGATTCCCTTAGTCACTGTCTTCCCACCGGTGACAGGAAGGAGTGCAACGACATGTCCATCCGATGTCCATGTTTTGAGAACTTTGCTATGATTCCTCGTTTCATAAAGCAAACGCTGGTTGTGTTTGGTGAGATCTTCATGGATCGATATACCAGTGTCTTTCATCTTGCGTCGTTGTACCGATTTCCTAGCTTGGTACGACACAAACTTGACAATTATTGGACGGGATCGCTTTTTGCGCATTTTCTTTTCGTTGTCATGACTACTGGGTTTCGCGTTCCCGGTATCGTGGAAGGTTTCTTGGTCACGGACCGATGCTTGGTCTGTGATTGGGGCTCCTACTCGGTGAGATCTCATTATGAATATGACTGACAAAGAAAGCGGACAAAATTTACAGTTCCTCGGGTAGACATAGGAACATCCCTTCACTGCTATTATGTAAAAATGCGTAGAACAGGTGTCACATGCATATTCACCTTTTTTACATAATAGCAGTGAAGGGATGTTCCTTTGTCTACCTAAGGAACTGTATATTTTGTCCGCTTTCTTTGTCTGTCATGTTCATAGTGTGTGTCAATTGCGAATTCCAAGCTTTTCCTCTGCGATCTTGCACACAATAGCCGTAGTATCTTATTCTCGGGAACGCCGAACAAGCGAACACAATTCCTTTGCGAGTATTGTTCTTGATCGTTGCAGGTCCGCATCAGGGCACTGATCTTTGATGATTTTTGTTCAGCTTTCAGAGTGAGGTGATTGATCTTTAGGTCTTTATCAACAATGGATGACTCAAGCTCTTCTAGCTTTTCAATTGTGTCTAGAAGGGATACAAATTCCTTTTGACAAGAGCTTTTGATGATGTCATTTATAGCTTTTAGAAAGACATTGTTGGAGGTAATCTTCTCCACTAAATCATCATCATTCCTTACAGAATCAGTTGGCGCCAAAATTGCACTGGTCGCCGCCATCTTGGAAATGTACGATATCAATTCAAAATGTAGGCAAGATAAGAATAAGAATACACATGTGAATCATTATGTTGTGTTGTGTTTTGCTTTAATTCAGTCTAACCGTCGACGAAAGTGTGGTAGCAGAAACTTCTCGATTGATGTCAGTTACTCTGGAATCAGGCCTTTTTGAAGTCAGTTTGGTCCAACATGCACACCTGAAAACCAGGCCTAGCTGTCGAGCAAATGCCCGCCGAAAATCCATGCTCCTCGCCGCATAAATCATCGGGTTAATTGCACTATTCGAGAAGGCGATTTTGAAACAGATGAGCTCGTAGATGTATATCTCGTCTAGACGGACGTCGGGGACGATGACGTCAATAATGGTCATAAACGATGCCGGCAGCCATCCGATGATGAAGAGGCCGAATACGAGCATAAGCGTGACGGCGGCTTTCAAGTCTTTTTTTAGCGTTGAAGCGTATTTGGCCCGAGCGAATGCTTTTGTTTCAAGAACGCGCTCGAGCGCGGCTATCCGACGTCGATGACTACGGGCGACGCGGTAGATGCGAAAGTACCAATAGGACATCAGCGTAAGCGGTACAAACATGATGAGCACGACGATCATGATACGATATCCCTTGCCCTGGATGTAGAGGAGATCGCAGGCGGTGTAGTAGAATTCATGAACGTTATTCCACGCGAAAGCGGTGGAGCTAAGCACCAAGGTTATCAACCAAATGCCAGCGATAAAACATGCTACCCGACCGTTCGTCATCGTCTGCTGGTACGTGAACGGCGATGTGATGGCGAGAAATCGATCAAAGGCAACCACGGTGATGTGCAAGATGGTGAGAAACACCATGGTGCCGATGACGGCGCTCAAGGTTAAGCAGGCCCACGGCGAGACGTCGGGCTTGAACCCCAATCCGACGACGATGTCGAGAGGTATGCAGATGGTAGCGAGCAGGAAATCGACCACGGCTAGACTGGCCAGAAAGATGTTGTTCTGAGAGCGAAGTGAGGGCGTCCTGGCGACACTGAGTATGACCAGTGTATTGCCAATCAGTATGACCACAGCTATTACAATATCAAAGACAAAGAAGCCTATGATTTGGCTTTCGGTTAGGCACAGGTAACCGACGCATCTGGGCTCTGGCCTTGTTGTAGAGCTGACCAAAACTTCAGAAGCCATGTTGGGGGCTGCTGAAGTCATGTAACTGAAACGTTGTTGATACCCAGAGTTAACGCATTCATCCACAGGCTGAGAGGATTTAATGAAGACTTATAAACGCGTACCATTTAAACAAAATTCCAAGCAATCCCTCACAGTCTATTCCAGAAAACTTCGTATTAAACAAGAAAATTGACTAAATTAATGTTGAATAAAAGCCGCTTACAAATCCATCACATGTAAATTGAATCCTCAAATCCTTATTTCTAGATACATGTAGGCTACCCTCTGAGGCGAACAATGTTAATCACATTAAAATCCAAGGCAAAAAGAGCATATACGATGAAACACCAATGTCCTAGATAGATGCTTGAGGTTATTGATAATACTTGGCATATCCAACATATCAAGATGTGAAGGTCTTGTCTCATAATTTCCATCAAGCGGCCAACATTTTGAAGAGATATGATCGGGCGGTCCTTCTCAAAGCTGTTAATGAGTTACCAAATTCAAGTTGCACCATTTGATAAAGCGATCCCGCAGGTACCAGGTACGGAAACAAAAAATCCGAGCTATTCTTGACAACATGATTGTATGTACCTCATCCGTTGTAAGAAGCTGTAATGAATGAAGAAAATCTCTTCTGGCGGATGCAGACCACTGTGTAACTGGAGCAGCATGAGATCGGACAATAGTTCGCGAATGATGAGCTTTGATTGGTTTTTGATGATGAATAATATTGCACTGACGTGCGATGAGCGTGTGAATGTTTGACGGGAAGTGGTGGTGGTGGAGATGGGGAGTGGGTAATGAAGGAAGAATAGAGAAGTGAAAGAGGAGATAGAGAGAGAGAGAGTGAGTGAGAAAGAGAGAGAGAGGGGAGAGGGAGGGAGAGAAAGGGAGGAGAGAGGGAGAGAGGGAGGGGAGGAGAGAGAGAGAGAGAGAGGGAGAGAGAGAGAGGGAAAGAGGTGTAAGACAAAAAGAGGGAAATAAAGAGAATGAGAATTTTGTAAAAGGGAGAGATGGAAGACAGTGTGATAATATTATTATGTGGTTTATAATAGCGCTTGATACGAAATACCGTCGCTTAGCGCTTTACAGATTTTGTTACCTCTGTTATCGAATTTATTCACGCACAATGTGCAACATCTCCACTCCATGTTGCGTATTCCTATCATATCGTCACGTTGAGGGCATATGGAAATTACTAACACAAAGGCTTTCTTCATCGTACCATGTCCCTAGCTCTCTCTCTCTCTCTCTCTTGGTATGAAGTGGCACGTGTATATTAATGCACTGGCAAACGACATTGCACTACGTGAGTGAATTCCTACATAATTATTGACAAGGCGCTTAAAAATGTAATATGGAAACCCAGCATGGATGAGACAAAGAGCGAAGGACAGAATAAGAACTCAGACCCCCCCCCCCCCCCCCCCACATAAAAAAGGAGAAGTTAACAATAGAGTAGTCCTTCCTTTTGTTAACACTATATCCTCTCGCTTGAAACGAGCATTCCAAGACAAGGATATTAGTGTTGCATTCAGAAGCCCTAATTTGGTCCATCCAAAAGACCAAATTCCAAGAGAGGAAAAGACAAGCATTGTGTAAAGATTACTTGCACAGATTGTAACAATTCATAATTATGTTGGGGAAACTGGCAAAACTTAAATGAGCGATTAAAAGAACACAAAAGAGCCCTTTGATTGAGCTACCCATCCCATTTAGCTTTAGGTGAACACGCCCTCAACTCCAGGACATAATATTGGATGGGATGATGCCCTTATTATTGACTTTGAAAGCAACTTCTGGTCAAGAAAGTTGAAAGAGTAAATATGGATAAAGAGGATTAAGCCTACACTAAACAGGGACTCTGGATACTTATTGTCATCTATCTTTGGTCCAGTGTTCGCAAGATACCATGCAGGCGGCGCAGCTAAGAAACGTGTGACTGGACACTTAGCTTGAGAAAGTCCACAGAAGTGGACGGAAGCTTGCGCAACAAAACCAAGGTTGGTAGAAGTTTCAAAAACTACATTTTATGATCATCCCCGACCAATGACAGTTTTCTGTCTCAGACATTAGTATCGTGTTGAGGATCAAACCCACAGGCCCGAATTCACAAAGGAGGTTTGTCGACAAACCTAGGTTTATGTGCGTTTTAACATGGTTTGTAAAAACGCGTCGAAACGCGTCATATGACGCACATAAACCTAGGTTTGTCGACAAACCTCCTTTGTGAATTCGGGCCACAACCTTTGTATTTAAACCACTCGACTACGTCACCTCTAGATAGAGTCGGAGAGAGGGACAAGGGGGTACACGGAGAAATGGGGACTGACTCGCGGAGAGAGAGAGAGACAGAGAGACAGACTGAGAGAGAGGGAAAGCGAGGGAGTGATGATAGACGGGGGAGAGAGAGAGAGAGAGAGAAATAGATGGAGAGAGAGAAAGTGAGAGGGTGGTAGACAAGGGTGTCGATTTGTATCCGTGGTTGGGGGGGGGGGGGATGACAGGTGCCAAAAAAATTTCGGCAATGGATCAAAGCAACCAAGGGGTAGAAGCATGTGGCCAGTTGTACCCCCCTCCCCAAGCGCGTAGCCAGGATTTCATTTTAGGGGGTCGGTAGTGAGCTAGCGAAGCGCGCTCCCTATATAGGGGTTGGGTGCAGGGAGGGAGGAGTTTCCCCCCTCCCCCGCGAAGCGCGAGCCTTTGACGTTTCATTAAATTATTAGAGAAAAAAAGACGATTTGTTGGACCGTTATCGACTCTTTTTCCTTGTTTGAAATCAAGTTCCCTACCTCCGCGCATAGCGCGGAAGCTCTGACGTTTCATTAGATTATTAAGAAAGAAGACGATTCGATGTACCATTCTCGACTCTTAATCCTTAAAGTTTGAATCAAGTTCCCCTTCTTCCGCGCATAGCGCGGAAACTCTGACGTTTCATTAGGTTATTAAAGAAAGCAGACGATTCGATGTACCATCTCGACTCTTTGTCTGAATTCAGTCCCCCCCCCCCTCCCGCGCGAAGCGTGGAAGCTCCGACGTTTCAATAAATTACTACTCTTGATCCTTGTCTGAATTCATTTTCGCTCATTCCTGCGCGAAGCGCGCAAGCTTCCACATTTCATTACATTATTAGAGAAAGAAGATGATGATATAGAATTTAGTTTTCCCCTCTACCGCGAAAAGCGCGGAAGCTTCGACGGTTCAATAAATTATTACTCTTAATCCTTATCTGTATTCACTTTTGCCCATCCCGCGCGAAGCGCGGAAGCTTTATATTTTCATTAAATAAGTAGAGAATAAAGACGATTTTGTGTATCGTGTCCTTGTCCGAATTCAGTTTCCCCCCATCCCGCGCGAAGCGCGGAAGCTTCGACGTTTCATTTGATTATTACTCTTAATCCACGTCTGAAATCACTTTCAACCATCCCGCGGATAGTGCGGAAGCTTTCACTTTTCATTAAATTATTAGAAAAAGAAGACGATTCGTTGTATCGTGTACTTTGACGTTTCATTTAATTTTAACTCTTAATCCTAGTCTGAATTCAGTTGCCCCCCTCCCGGGCGATGCGCGGAAGCTTAGCCGTTTCACTTAATTATTAGAGAAAGACGACTCGCTGTACTGTTATGTATATTAATCCTTGTCTGAATTCAGTTGAAGTACGTTTGGAACGTTCGTTCGCAAATCTTTGCATGTACAGCCCGAGTGGTAGCATAATATTTAGCTCATTGCTCGTTGCTCGTTGCTGTTTGACGCTGCGTCTTTGCATTTGGCGCTCTGCATTTCTATGATGCTGTTGATTGAATAAATTCATAAATTCCTGATGAAGCCGTATGAGCGAGAATTCAATTTATTCTTGTCTCATTTACGGTTATCTCATTTACTTCGTATATATATATATATATACATATATATGTATTATGAAAATGAGATAGCAAAATGTGTATATTGATGGTTATCTTGCGAGTAATAACCATTAACTACTCTCATCGGGCTCTCATAATTAATTTTCTCTTCATTTTTTTTTTAAGGTGAATTATTGGGGGGGGGGGGATGATTGTACAGGCCATCCCCCCACCTGAAATATTGGGGGGGGGATATATCCCCCCATCCCCCCCGGGATCGACACCCATGGTGGTAGAGAGGAGAGAGAGATGGCAAGAAAGTGCAATATTTGTTAATAATATCACGCTAATTTGTGAGCCCTCCGAGTTATGACTTGCCGCATTTTCAATTAACGGTATATAATCAGAGCAAATTATCTTTCCTTCACGAATTATTTTTAGTTACGGAAGTGGCTCGAGTGACGTACACTGTCGCTCATTATAGTTGGAATATTTTTGTTTTACCCCAATTTATGGAATTATTTAAAAAATAATTAAAAAATAATAGATCTAGATAATAGTATACATTCTCAGATTGTATTAAATAATACTTTGCCAATGTGTGTTCTGTGTGACTGTTAAAGCATGTGTATGCTACTATGCTTATCAACTAGGGGACCTACGCCCTTAAAGTCATAAATGACAGTAATTTTATTTTATTTATTTTATTCATACATATTTATACAGGTACACAAGATCAGAAATAAATCTGTTTTACATATTGGACCTGGTATTAAAAGCATAGTATAAAAAGTAGTAACAATGAGAATTCAGTATTCAGAATTCAAGTATAACAAAGTAAAATACAGAATAAATACAAAGTAATGAGGATTAATGCCCCACAAAAGGGCACTAATATAGCACATCGACACGGTTTTGATCCCGGGGACTCACAGTTACGTGGCCATTGCTTTGTTTCTGAACCATGACTGTACGCAGCGGGGGCTTGGGTAGGGGGCAGTTTCCATAAATTAAAAAGAAACAGAAAATGCAATAAATTTTCAATAATTTATTGCATTTTACCCCGGTCCCCAACATAAAAAATCCTCTGTGTGCCCATGCCTTGAGCCATAATGCATGGCCGTCTAGAGGATTTGTTTATGTTGGGGATCGGGGTAAAATGCAATAAATTATTGAAAATTTATTGCATTTTCTTCTCGGGGGAAATACAATTTAGACGTAGTTTATTTCTAATTCCATAACGGTGGTTTACACATAATGCTGAAATGACATAATTTTCCGAGATTTTCTGAATACTTATCTGACCGTAATTTATTGCCTTAAACCCCCGAATTTTCGGGGGCGGACGAGGTATCGAAAAATGTTCATCTGACCGCAGGCGGTGGGGCGCCCCCCCCCCCCCCAAAAAAAAAAACGCCGGCCAAAATAGAGAGTAGAGAAAAGGGAGAGGACGTAGGAAGAAAAAGGAGCAGACAAAAAACATTTTTTTAAATACAGACAAGGATTAAGACTCGAAAACGGTACAACGAATCGTCTTCTTTCTCTAATTATTTAATAAAACGTCAAAGCTTCTGCGCTT